TTAAAATGACAGAAATCTGTATGACAATTTCAAATATTGTTAAATGAAGTTCCAAACATATAGGAGAAGCCTACTCATTCGGTCCTGTCAATCATTATTTCAAGCGTATAAGCAGTCACTGAGCCGTCTCAGTGACAATTCTTCCGGCACCCCACAAATATAATATCTATATAATATGACGAGGACGTCATGATGAAGATGTACTGTGTAGCACGACTGAGCCATTCTATTAAGCTACATTTAGTTTTAAAGATCTACTATTTGTAAGTTAAGCAGCTAACTTTGTTGTTTAGCATACTAAAAACCTAATACAACTCTCAAACCTCTTCAAGAATCCAAGTAACAAAATAGTCATGAATTATCCAGTGTTACAAACAAACAATGTCACTTGATCAATGTTGTGATTGGTTAATCTATATAGTTTTTTGTGAGTCTTACTTGTCACTCCAGGCACCGTTCCACTCGCCTCTTCCCCACGGATTCAACACTCTCACCAGCCTCACTGGTTTTTCTTGGCATGTTACCTGTTAAATCGCGACATGTTATTCAAAACTCTTCAAACCCTTATCGTGGTTTGCTACTTATTCTGGATGTCACCTAAACTCAGACTATGCCATAGGTATTTCACCAGGATCATTATGAAATATCCTTTTACCACAGGACTGAACTGTCTGTACACAATGCTTTGAGGACAAACATTATTTCAAGAAACTATTCTTGCAAAACCACAGACTTGACGTAACAGGACATACCAAAGTGTGGAGCTCATCTGGAGCCGAGGGCAATTAGTAAATAAACACTGGTGTACGCCATTACAACAACAATTAACATCAGAACAAAGCGTGCCTGTTGTTGCTAAACACCTTTTTTTATATTATAAGCCTGTCGATATGGATGGATTATAATTATATAATAACTAAGTATTAACTATGAAAATCAACCTCATGCTTAATGAAAACATTCCCATTACATGTGAAGACAGGCTCCAGAACAGAGCCTTGAGGGCGCTACTTGGGAATGCAACAAAAAGTAAAGTGCAAGGAGTTTTAAAACAAAGTCTCAGTTAAAATGAGTTAAAATGATTGAATGAAAAATTGTTTATGGTGAACAAACTCAGAAAAGATTGCAGTTGTCAGACCTCTAGATTTTGACATTTCTAAAGGGATTCAAGCTTTTTTGTTATGGAATTGTCCAAGGAACAATTAGCAATCTACCTGTATCTATCAATCATCTAAATGTGTATGGCCACTGACATTTTAATTTTTCCAAATTTTACCTTAAACACATTTCTGAAAGGAATTTTGTGAAAAATGTCAAACGTCAAATATGCAAATGGTTGAGAATAAATTGCTTAATTTTTAATTTTAAGAAATTAAGGGATGTGTTCCTTAAAGCAACGCTGGAATGCATAACTTGCTATGTAATCTGATGGTACTGTGATCTGACATTTAATTCTGTGCAGACTTACCTTAAAAACCCCCGTCACTGTATATGCGTGGCCTTGAACAATACCATTGGGTAATACATTCTCAGATTTTTCCTGATATGGTTTGAAAAACATACATATCATATTAGTAATGCTGCCAAAGTGAAATATGTAGCAGGAAATAAAAAAAAAAGATTGTTTTATGTATTACATTGTTGTAAAACATTTTACTTTATTCATTTAGATTTAGTTAGACTTTAATGCAAAACCTAACAAAATTATTCAATGACAGTGACTTAGATGTCATGATGATAATATCTGTTACAGTAATTAAAGATCAAGCCTGAGGTCACCACCTACCCCCTGATGGGAGCCACAGGCCATCAGAGCCTTAGTCTTGGCTGCACGGTCCATTAGGTTCCACAAATCAATAGCAGGTTTTTCTAGTTCAAGGCACACGTGGACGCCACCAGTGAAGTCTAGCAGAGCTTCAGATACACGACCAGCATGCATGTCAGCATAGGAGCCACACACCCTGTAAAAGGCATTCTACATATCAAGTATATACTAAACATGCTGTTGAAATACTCAAATTTTTGATGATTATAAAATGACTGTTATTTTTGTGACAATGTAAGATGGCAAATACTTCCATCTGTAAAGCACCTTTAAAATCAGGTTACATACAAAACATTTACTGAAGGCCATGAAGTCTTGGTGAAATCATTTAATAAATAAACAATCTGATGCATAATTTGAAGAAAAATAATTTTACCACAACATACTGTTACCTACTTGGCATAAGCTTTCTCCAGTAATGCAGGCCAAAACTCATTAGATGTTTTTGAAAGAACAAAAACGGGTTTGCCATTGATTGTTGGAAGTTTGTCATCAATGACCACGTCAATCCATTTCCCAAACTGCCAGAACTATACAAAATAAGCACAACATAAGGCTTAAGGGCTGATGTAATTTTAAACAGCATTCAGTTATACTGAACAGACCAAAGAACTCACCCTGAAGTGGAATATCCCTGCATAATCTTTACCAAATGACTGGTCAGCTGGCATGACCTGGTCCATGATGTCCTTCTGAAATGTTAAAGCACCAACTGAAGCAAGAAACCAGCAGTTTCCTGAAGAAAAAATTAGCAAAACTAGTGTTTCAATGAGTTGACCAAAGGCTTTCTGGTGTATATGCCTACTAGAAATACATAAATAAACATACCTAAATAAGATCCTTGGGAATAGTCAAACCGAGACACCCCCTGTACAATGATCTGAGGGTCTGACACTATTTTCTAAAAAAAAAAAAAAAGATTGTGAAAATACCGAGAAACTTGGCCCAATGATTTGGGAATACCAGAAAAGGACATTTAAATTCAGATAATGCACTTCGGGTCTGCTTTCAAAACACTTGAGATGCCTTCCCACAATTGTAAATCAAAAATGCTGAGAGATGTCACAGGTGAACCTGTTCTGACAAGCCCTAAGAGACATTCTGCAGTACTTTACAATGATTCTTTCAAACAAGTTACAGAAGGACTGAAGATGGAAAGTGAATTCAGGTAACTTACTGATGGTCTCAACCACTCGATTTGGTCCAGGTCCAATTTAAGTTTGTTCTTTGGGTCAATGGAGCTGCTGTCTGGAGGGAACTTGTCATCAACAAATCTCTTTTGATTGGTGATGCAGCTCTTCTTCAACTCCTGGTAGTCCTGATCCAAGAATGTCAAAGGGTCGTCAAGAGTGCCCGTGTTGTCATTTGTTGTGGATTCATTCTTGGGTTTCTTGTTTACACGAGGTGGAGGCATTTTTTTCAGTTGCAAAAGTCTGTTTCTTCGGATAAACTATAATGAAAAACAGATGAAGGCGTCACGTCTGGTGATATGTCACACCACTATGTTATGCTATGTTTTGTTTTCAAAGGGACTCTAGACTTGTTTGACTAGTCTGGGAGTGTAATCTTGCCCCTTTGAAAAATATATCTTGATAGTTATTCAGAGACATACAATATAATTAGTGGATAAACTCAATTTTGAAGATATAGTATATTTTACCTTCAAAGATAACAACTTACCTAAATGAGCAGTCTTCTCCTACTAGATTTGATCACTCTCTTTGTTCTGCCCTATGGCTCTGGAATTCTGTGCTCACACTGAATGATGTTTTCAGGAAGTGTGCAGTGTTTTGTTCTGCACAGTACATCACGGCACAGGTATACCATTGCGCAAAAGATTCCAAATTCCTCCCACCACTGTTGTATAATTTACAGAACAGTAAATTCCACCATGTATAGACTTAACTCAATATAGAGAGATATCAATATAGGCAAATAAAAGCAGTTTGAATCTCAAATGTTTTACAATTAACTTAGAATGAAAAGTCAGTGTTTATATAATAGATCATTAATAAAGAAACTGCATTGGATTGGTCCTAAAAACAGTTAAAATTATATGAGATTATGAAAATACAGAAACTCAAGCTACTGATCTCTTCACAATCCTCATTTTCACACCGGAGGCTTAATATGAGCCCATAAACCACCTATGTATTATTTTTAATTAATATGTAGTTTATTTTGTTCATATTTGGTGCAGAAAAGGGGATATCATGTATGTTCAGGTGTTTTTTTTAATGGGAATTCTTATGAACATAAGACAAACAACATAAGATTATGTGACAGTTATAACAGTGTTATGAACTCAGTGTGGGTTATATTTGTGGTTTGGTTTCTTCGTTGATTTTCTTTTGTGTTGTACATCAGAGGTTGTGTGAGTCACACCACCATCATTGAGGTGTTTCACCGGCATTTTTTTGGGGCATGGGCTCCTCTCCTCGTCTCGTTTTCATTTGTTTAAGATGTTTTCTTTCTTTATGCTTTGATTTTCTTTTCCTTTAATAAATGTAGATTTTTTGATAATGTATCTGAGGCGTCGTGCAGCGAACTGAGAGGCAGCAATTTTTTCTCGGCAATCAAGTATTGCTGCCGATATGCTCACAGATATGCTCCCGAGACAACTGCTCTACCCACGATCACCACACAAAAATACAAATATTACATTACACCAACTTGTCTCAAAAGGGAACAAGCAGCTACACCTAACAAGGGAGCACCAATACGAATCAAAATTCTCCAATGATAGAATTTGCAAAATCACTTACCTTCTAAATACTGGCTAGGATACAGCAATGTATACTTTCCTTCTCCTCAAACAAACAACCAAATCAAAAGCATAGTTCGTTCAACAACGATGTACAAAACATCCCAACACATTTGGTTAAACAACGTGGCAAATTTTCTTACAAAATAATCAAACGCAACAAAACAAAGCACTTCCAAAATATGTCGAAAACACAATGGGAATTTCCAAAAGATCCCGGGCGAGCCCCCATTTGTCACGGCTTGCAATCCAGCTATGACAACAGTAACTAGAAAAAAAGTAACTTAAAATGAGAAAAATAACTAGGTATAAAGTCATGAAATAGATAAAGTAATATGAAAAGAGTTATAAAATAGCATAAATAAAGTACAAAACAAATGTATGTTTGCTTTCTTTAAGCAATTTTTTAATACACATGAATACAAACTCAAGCTGTTAGTTTCAAATGACAAAAATTATAAAACATTGGTGTATTCCTCTAAACCTGGAATTCTGAAGCATAGTGTGTGTATGCACAACATTCTATTTAGACCTATGCATTAAACAATGATTTTGAGAAACCCCATTTGTAAAACAGACATGAAGTGCAATGTCTATATATTCATGTAAAATTACATGATCAGGGACTGAAAGCAAAAAATTTTTTCACTAAGGTTTTGCAATAATGTGATGAAAATAAAATAACTAATATAAAATCAATGCACTGGTGTCTTTCCATTCAACTGGTGTCCCACTGATTGTTCCTTAATGATTCCTTAATTTCTCTTAAGGGATCCACTCTTTAAGAAGATGGACAGCATGAATTTTGCACACTCATTAGGATTTAGAGTGGATGGTACAATGAGATACTCTCCTGGTTCAAGCTTGAATAAATTCATCACATGTCTTGCTTTGGTAAATTTCTCACTAGCTTCCACATGACGTTTATTATAGAAGAACTTGGCTGGGAACTTCTCATCTTTCATCTAAAAGGGAATGAAATATAAACTTGTATTTACCCAACCACTTTATTTAGAGATACATATAGTTAATAGAGTAATTAAATCTATGTATGTATTAGAATTTACTTGCCTCTGGTGGTATCTGTTAAAGTCGAAAATAGAATAATAACACACAATTAATATGTGGAATCAAAAATAGTTGTATCCTTTGACTTTTGATAATACTGACCGCAAAAACACTGAAGCCGATGGAGTAGTTAGAAACAAGACTTCTGTATCTGTTTTCATGTTTCTGCATGAGGGACACCAGTATGTTTTCAGGACACTGGCCTCTAGCACATTCCTCATCAAGAACCTCAATCCTAATCCGAAACTGAGGGTTTGTCCAGAAAGTCTCTAAAACACATCCAAAGAATCAGACCTTTGTGTTACACATATACACACTAAATCGCCAAAAGTATACACACTCAAACATTACACAGATATGTTTACTTGTTGAACATTTAATGGTTTTCAACATTAATAAGGCCCTCAACATATTAAGATTACACTCACTCCTCACTCGCTCTCATTATAGACATTAAATACCTTTATTACAGGGGCGGCCACCAGCTGTAGTTCCAGCATCCCAGCTGCCATAATAGCATGTGGAAGTCCAGCTGTATTTAGAGGAACTGTTCAGAAAATCAGGACTAAGGCAGCAAATATCAATGTCCCTGAAGTTTTCAGTGAAGTCCTCCATTGACATCCTACAGTAAAATATGTTACTGAAAAAAATGTATTCATATTTAATGCTGCAAAAGATCTATCTGAAAGTACAATTAATGCCCACCAGAACTCCCCATCAATGGCCGAAGAACGACAATTGGATTGGTCACTTTCACTCACATTGTTCCACAATAATGACCTGAAAGTAAAAAAAAAGCATATACAATAATAGATTGGGTTTTGTTATAGCACAATAACATTGGCTGTGCAGATATCTCAATCCAGTGGTGTGATTGAGAGTATATTCTCTACCAGGGATATAGCACTGGAAATAAAATTTTACCTTTGAAGCTGAATATATTTTTGTAGTAATTTAAGAAATTATTTCTCTAAAAGTGTATAACTGACTTGAGGAAAATAAATAGCAAATGTTAACAATTACACAGCAAGGATTGATGGACTGAGAGTTAGCTTAGATGAGTGCGTCAACTTAAAGTCAATTTTAATATTAACCATCTATTTAAATGTTTATATTATAATAAAGACTGTTTTTTATTTTAACAGACTGGAATGTTTTACAGTAAAACATCTCATAAATAAACTTTTTTTTTTAATCCTGAAAGTATTATGTTTGTACTTTTGGTCTTTTCCCCCACAAAAACAATGATGTAATTTCCTAGAAGATGATGTCACTAATGAACTGGCTTTTGTTCACGAAAAGGACAGCCTATTACAAAAGACTGACAAAGACAACCTTTAAACAAAAGACAACAAAAGCGGTCTTTTGTTGCCAGGTGAATGCTGGCGATATGAATGACAGTGACCGTTGGTGAAATAAAACAACAAACACTGTTAGTGTGAACGCCTTCTAACAGGACTGTAACTCCATATTGAAAACATATAAGAAAAAACTATTCTAAACTGATTACCAATTATTAATTAGTATACGTTTCATTAGCGAAATAAAACAGAACAGAATATTTTCAAATAAATTTTAGACTGTGTGGACATGACGTCAAAAATGTGCAAAATTTGCCCCATTGTTCACTTATTTGTAGGAATAGTATATAGTAGGAATGACCCATCTAGTTAAAGGGATAGTTCACCCAAAAATGATAATTCTGGCATTAATTACACACCCTCATGTCATTCCAAACCCGTAAGACCTCTGTTCATCTTCGGAACACAAATTAAGATAGCACCATGTGCATGCGTTGTTTACGTGCAGGATACTTTCCAAAACACTGAAAAAATATATATACTAATTTTTTTAAGATAAGTGGTTGCAATCAATTTATTTTTATTAATTTACAATTTAATTTATTAATTTATTAAACAAATTTAGTTGACTAACTTTTAGCAAAATGTGTTTATTTAAATGTAGCTAAAATAAATTGATTGCAACCACTTACCTTAAAAAAATTTTGTAAATTCAATGAATAATTTTTTTTCAGTGAATGGCGCTATAGGGTGACGCGGAGGAGAAGAATGGTTGAATAAAGTTGTTATTCTTGTTTTTTGGCGCACAAAAACTATTCTCATATAGCTTCATGATATTACGGTTGAACCACTGATGTCACATGGACAATTTTATCGATGTCCTTTCTAAGTTTCTGTGCCTTGATCATGGTAGTACCCTTGCTGTCTATGGAGGGTCAGAGAGCTCTCAGAATACATCAAAAATATCTTAATTTGTGTTCCGAAGATGAATGAAGGTCTTATGGGTTTGGAAAAACATGAGGGTGAGTAATTAATGACAGAATTTTAATTTTTGGGTGAACTATCCCTTTAATGTTAGTAAGCTAAGCTTAGTATAGACCCGAAATAGTATGCAAGATTAAAATTAGTGTCCCACAACATAGTATGCTGAAATTAGTACCCTAAAGATACCAAGGTGTTCTACTATTTCCATGCACACTTACATGGCTAATATAGCACAACCCCTTGCATTCTGGAGGAGAAATCGATTCAGAACTATGAACACAAAAATTAAAAAAAATACAGAATTTTCATTTTTAGGTGAACTATCCCTTTAATGTTAGTAAGCTAAGCTTAGTATAGACCCGAAATAGTATACAAGATTAAAATTAGTGTCCCACAACATAGTATGCTGAAATTAGTACCCTAAAGATACCAAGGTGTTCTACTATTTCCATGCACACTTACATGGCTAATATAGCACAACCCCTTGCATTCTGGAGGAGAAATCGATTCAGAACTATGAACACAAAAATTAAAAAAAATTATAATAATCTCTCGAACATGGTATTGGTGAGTTGCTTAAACAGGTCTGCAGTAAACATGAAATTAAATTAAATGTGGATTCCAGTGACAGGATGCACGTACAGCTATGCAACAAAATGGTTTTGCAATGTGATAGTGTGTCACAAAACTAACCAACTCTTCTGCTACACAATAAAAAAGTAAATATTAGTAAATATACAATGACACTTCATACATCAGTTAGTGAGTTTCATGTGACTCTTACTTGTCACTCCAGGCACCGGACCACTCGCCTTTTCCCCAAGGGTTCAACACTCTCACCAGCTTTACTGGTTCTCCTTGGGATGTTACCTGTCAAATTCACATACTTTCTGTTCAAAATGCTTATAATGAAAGTCTATGAACCCTTACTGTGGGCTTGTTACTTTTCTATAGAATGTCAGATTCTACTGTCACAACAGCACTGACAGCAGTTCCGATCCCTAGCCTTCATAGAAAGCAGCCACCCATTTGCCTATGCTCAACAGCTCCATGATTATTAGCTATTACAGAAGGTTCCAACACTCACTGATGCTCCAGAAGGAAAAACGATGCATTTAGAGCCGGGGGGAGAAAACCTTTTGAATTTGAAGATCAGGGTAAATTTAACTTATTTTGTATTTTGGGAAACATGTAAGTATCTTCTGTAGCTTCTGGAGGGCAGCACCAAATGAAAAAAATATGATATTTAGGCAAAATAAGAAAAATGTACACCATACAGTATGTAAACTTGTAAGTGGGGTCATTTTTATAAATACAACTATTATTTTCTCTTGTGGACTATATGTAAACATCTTTTACGTGAAATTTCTTATTCAGGTCAGTACTAAATAAACAATACCAAGCATTTTGTATGATCCCTCTTATTTTGGTAAAATAATTAACATTTTGCCGATTCTGCAAGGTGTATGTAAACTTTTGACTTCAACTGTACGTCATGAATTCTGTATGAATTGACTGTATGAATCTTTGAATGGTTAGGAATTATGCTGATTCGTACTAACATTTACTATACCCAAATTGATGGGCTGGTTGAATAAATTAATCAGACATGAAATATATGATTTGTAAGTTTAACAGTAAGTTAGAACTTGGGATGCGGCTTAATAAGCTCGTTATTCACAGTCTGAGAGGTTCCTCAAGCCTTCACTGGGTTTTACCCATTTGAGCTGTTCTATGGATGTCGACCGTGTTGTGTGCTTGACATCCTTAAAGAGAACTGGAAAGAGGAACTTTCAAGAACAAAATTTAATAATTGCTGGACATAAGAGCAAAGCTCCACACCCTGGCATGGCTAAAACAGGAGAAATCGCTCCAGGCCCATGAACATCAAATCTGACTGTATAAGAGGGGAACTCAGCTGTAGGAATTTGCACTGGGCGACAAAGCATTTGTATTTCTCCCACCACTGACCTAATTACATGACATTTAAATGACATTTAATTCTGTGCAAACTTACCTTGAAAACCCCTGTCACTGTATATGCATGGCCTTGAACGATGCCATTGGGTAATACTGTGTTTGCAGATGTATCCTGATAAATATATAAATTAAAACATATTATATCATTAATGACACAAAGATAAAATACGGTTGTATGTATAATCGGTGCTCTGCATTGTTTCTTACTGTTGTTTATATTTAGTTCATATGAATGAAAGTTTCAGACTGAGGTCACTGGAACTGCTTACCCCACGAGAAGTGCTGCAGCCCATAAGGGCCTTTGCTTTGGCTGCACGGTCCATCAGGCTCCACAAATCAGTGGAAGTTTGTTTCAGTTTGAAGTACACATGGATGCCACCGGTGAAGTCCAGCAGAGCCTCAGATACACAACCAGCATGCATGTCAGCATAGGAGCCGCACACCCTGTAAGAGGCATTGCAAACATGCTTATGATGTTGGATTCTTAGAGATTAAATTCTAATGTGTTACAAACAAAACATATAATAAGGGTCATAAACTCTTATAATTATGGTAAAAGCATATATTTATGTTAAATGAAAATGAAAATATTTAACATATTGGCACCTACTTGGCATAAGCTTTCTCCAGTAAGGCAGGCCAAAACAGTTACTGAACATCTGAAGATAGAAAGTCAGTACAGGTAACTTACTGATGGTCTCAACCACTTGATTTGGCCCAGATCCATTTTAAGTTTCTTCTGTGGGTCAATGGAGCTGCTGTCTGGAGGGAACTTGTCATCAACAAATCTCATCTTATTGGTGATGCAGCTCTTCTGCAGCTCCTGGTAGTCCTGGTCCAAGAATTTCAAAGGGACATCAAGAGTGCCTGTTTTGTCTTTTGTGGTGGATTCATTCCTGAGATTTTGGTGGTTCAAACGAGGTGGAGGCATTTTTTTCTTTTTGAAAAATCTGTTTGTTTGTTTTTTCAGAAAATAAAAAAAGTTTAAAGTTGTTTGCGGGCTTATAATTAGCAGACAAATTAAATTCTTTAGATATAAATGATATTACTTTACCTTCTAGGATACGACGACAACTCTGCGAGTTCACCTAAATGAGCAGTTTTCTCTTTCGACTTATTCTTTTGTTCTGCCCTAGGCTCTGGAGTTCCGTTCTGACCGAAAGCTGTTTTTAGAAAAGGGCGCAGCATTATGTGTAAAAGGTTTTTCCTCCCACCTGTAAAACTGCGTAACAGTAATTACCACCAAATATAGCCCTAAGTCTGAACATAGAATGTTGGTAAACTAGTAGGCTAAATGTTGTTTATATATAAGTATTAACGAAGAACCTGCATCTGACTAATCCTTAAAAAAAAGTTACATTTATACGAGATCATGAAAACACAGAAGCTCAAGCTATTGATCTCTTCACAGTCCTCTGTTATTTTCCCACCACTAAATTTAGTACAAGCTTTATTTTAAGTCAGTTATATACTGTATTTGCATTGATACCAGGTAAGATCAGGTGGTTCGAAGTACAATCAGTTGAACATTACTGTTCAGTATTACTATTAGCATTTGGACAAGCTTCTGATATTGACTCCATAATATTTTTGGCACAACAAAACACTCCATTAGCATTTTTTTCCCCCAAAGACAACCCCAATATATATATGTATATACTTTAACTGTACACTTTCCACAATAACATAAATCCCTATTATTTTAAATTTTAAAGTCATATTTTTTATATATATATATAAATTTAACACATAAAACTCTTAATGTTTCCAAGTGCCAACTCTTAATGTTTCCAAATTGAATCACTGAATTACAATATAGTAAATTCAAAGGAGAAATTGTCACATCTGACTCTGTAATTAATAATGATCCAAATATTTAAATACAAACATTAATAAGAATCTAATAATTAATAGATTAGCTTCAAATCTCAACAATTGCAATTAAAGTCAAAGTATGTCTGCATCCAGATGTAGCTCTTTAGTTACTAAAATCTGAAGAAATTCTGAAAGATTCCACTTATTGTAAACATCTCCACTGTACACTGCAACCACAACTTTGCTATCTCTAATGCGTAATGCGTTCAATAACCCAGAATAACAATGGCCAAAACTGACCCTCCTGTAAAAAAAAAGCTGCAACAGCACAATCTCATGTTTAGTGCTACTTTTCTAGCATTTTCTAAAGGTTTTTTAATTATTTTGTCTTGTCACAATAGTGAACCTGTTCTGACAAGCCCTAAGAGACATCTTAATTGCATGTTATTTTCAACAAGTTTTTTTTCTCAGTTCTTTCAAGCAATAATGCCTATTTACTTTGAGATCTTTTTTTAAAGTTACTGAACATCTATCTCTAATGCGTAATGCGTTCAATAACCCAGAATAACAATGGCCAAAACTGACCCTCCTGTAAAAAAAAAGCTGCAACAGCACAATCTCATGTTTAGTGCTACTTTTCTAGCATTTTCTAAAGGTTTTTTAATTATTTAGCATCAACTAATTTTAGAAAGTGTTTATTTACAGATCACACTCAGTTTAACATTCTCTAAATCGGTATGTAAAAAAACACATTTGAGATTTATTTTTGCCAGTTAACACACACAGAACCATTCACTTTATTGTTTGCCAGTTAACACACAGAACCGTTCACTTAAAGGGTTAGTTCACCCAAAAAATGATAATTAGACTGCGATTTACTTACCCTCGAAGCATCCTAGGTGTATATGACTTTCTTCTTTCAGACGAATCCAGTCGGAGTTATATTAAAAATGGTCCTGGCTATTCCAAGCTCTATCATTGCAGTCAGTGGGTGTTGCAGTTGAACAGTCCACAAGTCGTCAAATAAAGCTCGCGCATTCATAATAAAGCGTGCCGCAGACGGCTCCGGGGAATGAATAAAGGCCGCCTGTAGCGAATCCATATCCATATTTCAAACGTAATAAACACTTTTCTCTCACTTCCGCTGACTGTCATACACTGAAGCAGTTCCGGCGGTGTTTTTTCTTTAAAAAACACATGGATTCGCTACAGGGGGCCTTTATTCATCCCCCGCGGCCCGTTTTATTATGAATGCGCGCGCTTTATTTGACGACTTGTGGACTGTTCAACTGCAACACCCACTGACTGCAATGATAGAGCTTGGAATAGCCAGGACCATTTTTAATATTACTCCGACTGGATTCGTCTGAAAGAAGAAAGTCATATACACCTAGGATGCTTCGAGGGTGAGTAAAACACAAGCTAATTTTCATTTTTGGGTGAACTAACCCTTTAAACCTGTTTGTCTGCAAAGACACATAAGCTCACATTAAGGCCGACCTCCCATACCACATAATAAGCACTTAAAAACAGTTTGTATTCATATGGTTCAGTGTCAAACATCTGACCAACAACACCACAGTCCATTGAAACACAAACACACACAACCCATCCTCGCCATTTCAAACAGAAGAGCAAATAAAGCCATTCAGTCGACTCTTCGTCGCAGGTGGAGAATGCGAATGTCAGGACTGTTGAACTCAGGGTCTTGTTTCTCAGATGGGATCTCCTCTGACTGGAATTCTTGCAGAAGTAGCTGTGAAACAGAGTATTTGATGAAGAATAAGACAATAGCAGATTTAGCATGGCGATGCATTTAACTGGCTTTTAACTCATATAATTAAATATATATAATCTGAATACCATTACTTGGAGTTGGAGCTAAAAGACCAACTGGTCTAATACACTCTCATTAACATGTGCCACTAAATATGACAATGTAACTATTTAGTGTTTTACAGTTTGATTCTCTTACCTCAAAGAATCTCTTTTCTATTTCAGGATTTACACCAACAGTGCGTTGCTCATAGCAACAGATGATACACGTCTCTGGTCCAGCCAAGAGTTTCAGAGTCTCCACCAGTGGCTCCACAGACTGTGGAGTATACAACACTGAGGCTATTAAACCAAGTACTGTTAATTATTCAGCACTGCAGAGCTAACTATTGCTGTATGGGAACACAGGTTTAAGAAAAATTAAGAAAAATAAATAAATTATTGTGTAATATTCATTGTTACAGTACCTGCTCATAGTAGATACAATCAGCCATCAGAATATAATGAGGAGGAGGTAGAAATTCTTCGACATTTCCTCCCCTTTTAAAAGGAAAATGTTTCATAAGTTGTCATTATTTCATAATACATTTTCATGAAATAAAAAAAAAACTTTGGTAACACGTTATTTTAAGGACCCATTCTCGCTATTTATTTACTAGTTGCTTATTAGCATGCATATTACAAGCATACTGGCTGTTTATTAGTATTTAAAAACCACATATTAATGCCTAAATATGTATGACCATATTTTAGATCCCTTAATCCGACCCCATACCTAAACTTAACAACTACCTTACTAACTATTAATATGCAGCAAATGATAAGTTTATTGAGTGAATGTGTGTTCCCTATTCTAAAGTGTTACCATAACTTAAATTGTACAAATATATTTTTGTTCCACTGTAGAAAGCAAATCATACAGGTTAGGAAAATATAAATTAGAGTAAATGATGACAGAATCCAGATCTGTCACTGTGACATTTGCCCTATGGGTGCACATTATTAAAATACTTTTAAATCAACCACATTTATGAATAATATTTATTAAGAGGAATTAATCAAAATCCTACATAATACACATTTTCTTAAGTTGTTTATTATGGCCATATATACATCTTATCGGTTTTAATTTAATAGAGGAGTCCATAGGGCACAGCATTCATAACTCACCCCAGAGTTGCAGCCACGAGACCCACGAGTCCTGTTCCTGCGCCCAGTTCAATAATGTTCTTCGAGGACCACGTACTAACACCAGACTGAACACAGCAAAATTGTTCCGTTTCGAGGTATTTTGACAGGACAATAGCAGCGTCCCATACTACACAGCCCACGTCCCCTTTGCTGCACTGATACATTCTTAAAACAGAGCCGTCATTTTTCTCTATTTCTCGAACAAAATAATCTTCCGAATCCTCGTCAGTCGCCATGTTCTTTCTTAGCTCGCTGAACACTGAACAAACTACGTCACGCATCTGCGTGACATCTGATTCGCGAATTATTTTTTCTTCTTCTTCCTACTAAAAGATAGAATGGACTCATAATACTGGTATGAGTATTTATGTAATGTTGGGTATTTTAGAAAATATTTTAGATGATTTTTTTTCATTTGTAGTCTGGAGGTATTTTACTTGAGATAAAACAAATACCCAACATGAAAATAAAAGAAAAAGTTAGTTTTTGGAAGCCATTTGCTATAAAATGCAATTGTAGTAAGTCAGTCGACTCTAATTTGAATCGTTAGAATTATGCTATTTGTACAAATATTGGCTTGTCTACAGTGTTATTCTTTATCAGAGTATTTTTTTATTGTTTATTATTGTTACATTTAAGCTTATAATCTCCGCAAACAGCAGATGGACCAAATTAAAGTTTATTGAGTTCAGTGGCGTATAAAATTTCCCGAAATGCTTGATCAGTAGTAGCAGATCATTTGCAGACAAACATAAAAACTAGGTTAGTCTGCTGCAAGTTAGTGATTTTAATACAAAGCTTCCAAAGCTGCAGATGAGAGTTTTAATACGTACCACAATGTTAATACATATTTGTGACACGTACGTGACGTATGCACGGTTTTGTGATTGCTGTAAATTATGATGTATGGATTTGTTGTTGCTGTTCTTCGATATATTGTAGTTTTATATAAAGCCACTAGATGGCAGCGCAGACTCATTCATACAGGTTTTATTTTTTTATTTTTTTATTGCTTAATGTACATAACAAGACAGGGAACAACCAACAATGTAAGACACTTCCATTGAGACAAACACAGAGTTTACATTAAAGAAGAAGAAAAAAAAAACATAAAAAACAAAGAAATAAACACAAGGAGCAAGGATGAAAACAAAGATGTAGTCGATGTAGACATTATAAAGAAAAAAAAAATACTAAAGTAATAATTTGACAAAGAGAAGCATAACTTTTCAGATTGTCTGTTATGTTTTTTGAAGCATTTGAAGCTCTGAAACATTTTAGCAAACTCACATAAAAATATATTTTGCATACCTTATTATAACCTTTTATTGTAATTCTAACTCTGTATTTATTAATGAAATCATTATAAGATAAGAAAAAGCCATTATCATCTAATAAATCATGAATAAAAAGAATGCCTTGGCTATACCAATCACTTTTAAACAGATATTTCCTATTAATAATTACAGCCCTATTGTTCCAAAGAGTGGAGTTGTGAGGGGAAAAGTTGTGGGTAAATATCATTTTCCAAAAAAGCAGTACTTGTTTATGAAAGTTAGATACCTTCAGAGGAATTTTGCAAGGGTCGAGATCACATCTCAACACAAATTCAAGGCCGCCAATATTTTTTAAAATGTGGTTAGGAATATGGTACCATATTGAGTGTGTCTTTGTTAAACACTCTTTCAACCATTTTATTCTGCATGTACCAAGAAGAGATTCAAAATCAATGGCTCTCAAACCTCCATGTTCATACTCTTTCACCATATGGAATTTACGTAAATAATGTGTTTTATTTTTCCATATAAATTTAAATAAAATTGAATTCACCGATTTAACTACTCTTGGGGCAGTATACAAAGCTTGAGATAAATAAATAAGTTTGGATATTCCCTCAGTTTTAGTCAAGAGAATTCTACCCAATATAGATAGGTCTCGAGATAACCAATGATTTAAGGATTTTTTCATACTTTCTATTTTAGAGTTAAAATTTGAGTGTTCTCTATTAACAACATTTTTAGTAATCATAACCCCTAAATACTTTACCTCTTTTTTCACTGGAAAGCCCTCTATATCGTCTAAGTTACAATTATGGATCGCCATTAATTCACATTTTTGAAAGTTTAGAGTCAGACCTGATGCCTTTGAGAAGACAGATTTTTTTTCAATAACTAATGGAAGCACCTCTTTATTTTTAAGAAATAAAAGAGTGTCGTCTGCAAATTGGCTTATAGTAAAGGTCCTACCAAAAATGTCTATGCCTATATTATCCTCAAAATTTTTAATGAATAAAGACATTCGTTCGACTGCAAGATTAAAAAGTAATGGTGAGATAGGGCATAGTACAGGTTTGTATAATGAATTTCTTTTTTAGTTGCATTTTTCCCACACTATATAAGGTAGTTACAGCAAATTTCAAATTCAAAATTTAGGTAAAATTCAAGCGTCCCTTACAGAATCGTCACTACATAGGAACTATGCTGTGCTGGCAGGACCCTTAACTTCTCCACGCTGGAAAGGTCCACACTTTTTGGTCATGCACTCTGACATTGACAGCATCACCTAGACTCAGTACAGGTTTCTGACTTCACTGTGGCAGTTGTAGAAGAATGCTTGTTTACCTTTCACTTCTAACCTTTGCATCTTCTGGCCAGGTAAGTTTCACTTATCCCAATGCTTCTCTGCTAGAAATCAGAGTGTGTTTTCTCTCTCTCTCTCTCTCTCTCTCTCTCTGTTACAATGTTCTTTACTTAAATTCTTTACAAGAAAACTGGACCACCACTATCACTTTCCAACTCATGTGCAGTGCCAAACCAGTTATTAATAATAGAATGTATTTAACACAAGTATCCCCTTCAATTGAATTTTATCATTATTATGTGAAATCTATGACACTTATTGTCTTCTCACTACATCTAACACAGTGTGTCCACAGAGAAGGGTTCAATCATTCATATGCAATAAAATGGATAAATATGTTTTTTTTAATGGTGAAAAAGAGCTTGTTTTATCAAAAGCAACACTTAATAATGTCTCATATCAAAGCACGGTTGTTTTTCAGTGACACATGCATGTTTCATAAGGTTTCAAAGTTGTGTCCCCACTTTTTGTCAACACCGTCAGACATTCAATAAAATGTAATAAAATCAGGGAATATCAGGGGCAGCTGTCACTTTATCAAAAGCAACACTTAATAATATCTCATATCAAAGCAAGGTTGTTTTTCAGTGACACATGCATGTTTCATAAGGTTTCAAAGTTCTGTCCCCACTTTTTGTCAACACCGTCAGACATTTATTAAAATGTAATAAAACCAGGCTATGTCAGGGGCAGCTGTCACTCTAAATGACCCCCTCGTCACATTTCTCCTCTGCAGAGTGCATCAGTGTCAGACAGGCTCTGCTTTATGGTTTTATGGTTTTAGAATATTTTAAATCTTAATGTTAATATTTCCTGTGTCACAACCATGATATGTCAACACCATCTTCCAATTTCTGAGGAAATTATTTGAAATATTTAGATCATTGTATTCTCCTGAAGCAGGTTCTACTGTCTGCTAACATGAGAATGTGTTTTGAAATGTTAAAAACGTCTTGACTGCCGTTAAAGATAAAGCTGAAGTTATATTACACAGTCCAAGGTAAAAAAGCACATTTTGATAAAAAAAGAGAAAAGTTGGGAGGTTGAATCAAAGCATAGCTCAGTAGCTTAGTACATATAAGATACATAAATGTAGTTTCATCTGTCCGTGTACAAGGTTTTATTTTTTTCGATTTTGCATCCTGTTTTGTCCCACTTTTCAAGACTCAGTGATCAGCAGTTCTCTGCTGTGCTGTCTGCAATGCTTACAATATGCTGCTGATCTCCATACATCATTATTGCTAACCTTCCTGCTAGCTGCTGGCTGACACTTTTAGGGTTGTAGAATATATAGGAGAGCTCAGCAAGGCATTTTAGTCACATCCTGGCTTGAACCCTATATCAATAGACACTGTACTGCGACTATTTTGGGAACATATTTTCCCTTGGTCAGTGGTTCCCAGCCTTCTTCCTGAAGCCCCCATTAACACTTGCATGAAACTGACCCAGGCATTTGAGTCTGCGTGCTGTGAATGGTGATAGTTGTTTCTTTGGTGTCAGCTGTTTAAATGACTCCTCAATTATCACGTGTGCATCATCTCCTGTATCAATTAAGTTAAATGATTTCTGATCTATTTTCATTAGTGTATTACAGTGCTAAATAAATGCAATACAAGGACATATACCGGTAATAAATATTTAAATAATAATAATAGTAATAATAATAATAATAGCTTATTCATAAAGAAAAAAAAAGAGAGAGAACACAAGCACAGCTTTGCAGGAAACATACCGTACACTGAGAAATATGAGTAAAAACTGTAAAATTTTGTAAAGACGCTAAAAAAAACTATTAATAGGTTAACAGTAAGTTCCCGTACTATATACAGTGAACAAATGTAAAAGATCTAACTACACATTTCATGTAAATTTTAGTTTTACAGTAAAATGCTATTAAGTGTACAATTTCTAGAACAAATCAGCGTATAATTTACATTCAAAAACTGTACATTGATATCCCTAGACCTATGTTTCTTAATAGTTTTTGTTATCAGTTATGTTCATTAGGGTTTTATGTTACATAATCTGTTGTTTAATGAATGTTTATTGGATTGTTTTTTAAATGTCGTGTTTTAGCATAATGGTGTTTTGTGTTTGCGTGAATGACACTGTGCACCTTGTATATATTAGTATATTCTTCAGCTTGTTTATTCAAAGCAATTCAGAAATTAAACGAGTCACACTAAAAGTTTAATGCTTTACCATATTTGAAAATATGTACCACATGCACTAAACCCTACCCTGAACCTAACCGATAGTGTTAACAGAAATAAACAATTTGAAGCAACTATGCCAGTTTAGATTATTTAAACTTTTTTTTTTACCATAGCCTGTACTCAAGTGCAAGTGAAGTGCTGTAGGTGAGCTACAGAGTAAGAAATTATGCAAGAAAATGTATGGAGCTATTTGTAATGCAAATGTCAAAATGTATTAACTTAAAAATCACAGCATAGCAAGTTTCCAAGGACTCGCATGAAATTTTGTCTGAAAAGCAATAAAATATATATATATATTTTCAGATGGAAACAATAGTGAATGGAGCAAAAGAAGTGTTTATTTTAAAAAAGCAATAATGCTCTTCCACACACAAGATAATGGCAAAAGATCAGTCAGGAAAATATTGAGAGCAAGTAAGAGCTAGTTGTTAGCTCTTAAAAATAGATACATATATTCCCCAGATATTGAAAGGGAGTAGGTCAAATAGCTGTTTAAGCCAGCTAACATTCATTTTGGCTCATCACCAAAATATGTATAGGCTATTGCTTCAGCCACAAGCTTTTAATTATACTTTAATGTAATTTTTATTTTCAATGATCTGAAAACAGTTCACAGACACTAAAATTAGAAATTTGGATAAAACGGGTGTTATTCCATTGAAAGGACAATATATAGTATAGATGCAAGACTTTGTTAACAGTAAGTTGCTTTAGACAAACGCTGCAATAAAACCTACACTCAACTTGTAAGTTACATAGTTTGTATTTACATTTATGCATTTGGAAGAGACTTTAATCCAAACTGACT